AATCTGGAGTGCCCCTGCTCCCCCCTCCCGCCATCCCCTATTTATGCACGAGCTATGCAGCACCCAGGACTGCGCACGGCGGGGGGGGTAGTGTGTGGCACCGATCAGCTGTTAAAAAGCATTGCTTTGCGGTGATCGGTTCCCCAAGCAGGGAACCGATCATCGCAAAGCGAAATTCCCCCATAGGGGACATCGCAAAGCGATCGCAAAATCTTCATTGCAAAGCGATTTCATCACTATGCGAAGCGATCGCTATGCGAGGCACCACTGTATTTGGCTTTCCTATTTTCCTGCTGCTTTCCACCTTTCTAAGCATTATTGTATTTTCCAGAGAATCCTGCCTTCTCATGACATATCCAAAGTAGAACAGCTGCAGTTTTAATCCTTTTGCTAGAGAATGAAAAAGTTTTTTCCTTAAATTTCCTTTGTTTTAGCACAGATTCTTTGTCTTTAGACTTTTGGGTATTTCGTGAAATAAGTCACTTGTCTCAGTTTCTCAATTAGTCACTGAAATATCTGCAGTCAGGGCTGCTCATTTTTAGTAGTAATTACAGACACCCAGTCTGAGTGAGTATAGAGCAGCAATGGCAAACCTATGGCATGTGTGCCAAAGCTGGCACACAGAGCCCTTTCTGCTGGCATGCGAGCCATAGGTTGCCAGATCGCTACTCCCCCCCCCCCTGCGGAGCCAAACCTGAGAAGGTGTATGTATGGGGGGGGAGTAAGGAGACCCTGCCTTCTCGTGAATCCTGCGAGCACGAGCACCGGTGGATGGAAACAAAGGAACGCGAGAAAATAACTTGCCTTCCGCCTCCCTCTAATGACGTAGGACACCCCCTCCCTCCTTTAGAGGGACAAAGTCCCAGGTGGGACTGGAGAGGAAAAGGGGGCGGTGCTGGAGGTAGGCAGGAGGTGGAGGTGAACAACACCCCTGCAAGGGCATCATCGAGTGCATGTGTACAAGACCCTGGTGCTGGCAGCGGATCCAGAGTAGGGTCTTGAGGCACCTCCGTGCCAGGATTTCCCCTTCCGCCACCACTTCCAGGTCTGCCGCCGCCACTTCCAGGCGGCACACTGCCAGCTGTTTTGCCCCCCCCCCAGTTTGGGCACGTGAGCCCAAACAGGTTTGCCACCACTGGTATAGAGCATATATCTAAGAGCTCTTCAGTCTATTTTTTTTCTTGTATGTCACATATAATATTTCTAGTTTGCCTTGGTAAGAAGCTTTTGCCGTGTTTGTAAAGAAGGAGTCCTTGCATTATTCATACCTTTTTTTCCAGAAATGGGTCAAACTGTTCTTTCAGATGGTTACTGGATAGTTCAGTGAATTGGGCACTTGGCTATAAAGCCACAGATTTGGAGCTTTGTTCCCCGCTGTGCCTTTTGAGAGACAAAGCCAGCCTGGGTAGCCTTGGGTTAACTGCACATTCTCAAGATGCTTCCAGAAGAAGGGAATGGTAAACCCCTTTTGAATACTGTAACCTAAAAAGTACCGGAAAGGGTTCCTATAAGTCAGGATTGAGTTGACAGTACATAGTTACTGTTGTTATCATTTCAGGTAGGTTGTTGTTGTTTAGTCGTGTCCGACTCTTCGTGACCCCATGGACCAGAGCACGCCAGGCCCTCCTGTCTTCCACTGCCTCCCAGAGTTGGGTCAAATTCATGCTGGTAGCTTCGAAGACACTGTCCAACCATCTCATCCTCTGCCATCCCCTTCTCCTCTTGCCTTCACACTTTTCCAACATCAGGGTCTTCTGCAGGGAGTCTTCTCTTTTCATGAGATGGCCAAAGTATTGGAGCCTCAGCTTCAGGATCTGTCCTTCCAGTGAGCACTCAGGCTTGATTTCCTTTAGAATTGATAGGTTTGTTTTCCTTGCAGTCCAGGGGACTCTCAAGAGTCTCCTCCAGTACCACAAATAGGTAGGTGACTATATCGAAATATAGAATGTGTTTGTGGAGAAGAAAATAAGTTTTAGCGATATTCCTTTGCACAAATTGAAGACAGCAGCTTTTCCCTTAGAGCTAAGTGACTACAGTGGTACTTCGACTTACAAACTTAATCCGTATTGGAACAGCATTCGTAAGTCGAAATGTTCGTAAGTCAAAGCACCATTTCCCATTGAAATGCATGGGAAGAGGATTAATCCGTTCTAGCATTTAAAATAAAATAAACAGAGCAAGTCCCACACTGGGACTGCAAAAAAAAAATCACCCAAAACAAAACAACACCAATCATCAATCCCCTACCACCAACAATAGAAAATAGAATAAAATAAATAAACAAAACAAAAAACTTTTTTAAAAAGCAGCACCTTAAAAAGCAGCACTGAATCCTCCTCAGTCTCCTGGGCTTCCATCGCTGTTGCGATTGCCGTGGCCGGGACGCTTGATCCTGGCCACGTTTCTTCGACCGCTCGCCTCCCAGCTCGCCTTCCACTTGCTCCGCGCCACCCTCCATGGGCCGATGGCAGGAAATTCAAATGGCAGAGGGAGGTGAGCGAAAAGGAGGCGAGCAGCTGAAGAAACCCAGCCAGCTCAAGCCTCCCGGTGCTCCGCTGCCTCCGCCACGGCCAGGGGCGAGGGGACAAGCGCCTGGCCAGCTGAAGCCTCCCGGCGCTACTCTCTCTCTCTCTCTCTCTCTCTCTCTCTCTCTCTCTCTGTGTGTGTGTGTGTGTGTGTAAGAAAAAGAGACAGAGAGAGAGAAAGTTAATCTGAATTGAAATTTTGTGGGGAGCTAGCTTGAACAATGCAAAATATGGAAGATGAGCTCCTGGAGGTAAGGTGGAATGATACAATGCCTAAAAAAAGTATGTCAGGGTAGATAGTTTATAGAATGAATCACACTCTACATTGAAAGATCACATATGTGATGCCTATGTCAAGAAGTGAAGTAGACATAACATATCTTACAGTCTGAGACATTTGGGATGTAACTCATGAACAGCAATAGAATTTAAATGAGATAAAAGCAAAGTGTTCAAAGCTTCAGATTTCAACTATTGCCCCAAAGACCCTTAGGGTTTTTTGTATCTTGGTAGGGGTGTTCAACACAAAGTAAAGGCAACACTGGATGTGGGTGGAGGTGCAGAAATAGTCACAGGACTTAAACACGGCCAGATCTACAGTTTCTGTTCAAATATAATTAGCAGAGTTTGTACCCTTCTGCTGTTAGTAGAAATGCTCAGTAAAATTTATATTACCATTCTATCATTTTGATAGCATTCTGGCTGATGTACTGTATTTGTTTCAATTGTGATTTTATTGATTGTTCTTTTGTTTTTATATTTGGAAATTGCACCAATGACATTTGTCTCTTTGATGGTACAAAAGTATTTTAAATGTTCGAATGACTTTGGCATAAGAAGTACAGTGATAGAGGGCAATTTTGCAGGTAAGCCAAACAAGTCTCTTTGCTTTGAACAACATGCTTGTTCTGTGAATAATCACATACCTAAGAGTTTATAATGCTGTACATTTGAGGTAATTTACACCATCAAATAACCCATTGTTTGTAAGACTGAACAGCTGATCCAACTGATGTCCAGTTGCTATCCTACTCTAGTGGAGAGGCATTCGGCAGGAAAACTCCTCCTGCATGCGCATCCCAAAAATCTGTTTTGGAGAACTTCTAGAGCAGAGTTGAGGCACAGGAGGACTTCAGGGACAGAAGGAGAAAGAAGTTGCCTTTTACAAGTGGAAGCATATTCACACAGCACTAAGATATCCTCCCATGGTTGTATGGTTGGAAGACTTGATTTGCATGTTCCAGGTTCACTGTGAGGCAATCTCCAATTTAAAATATTGAGAGTTTTTGATATGAAAATCCACTGTCACGGTCATGAAAAACTGCTGCAAGAGTATATAATATTAGTTTTGGTGAGATATGAGAAATCTTTGAAGAAGTCTTTGGCTGTATTCCCATGAGGTAGTCAGTGCACAGCTAGATCCCTGTGGTGTGCAGTGCTGATACTGTTGGTGGATGAAACCAGAACCAAGATTTGCAAAATCAACCCTTTTCTCTGTGCCACTCCCCTCACTTGGTGCTGATAAGTTTTTGTAAAAGACCAGTGGAGAAGTTACATATGCAGTGGCCCAAACTGTTTGCAAAGGGCTCTTCAAATTAAATCAAGGGCTGGTTGAGGTCAAAACTAAAGGCTGCAGGTTCTATGTTTTAAAGCAATTTTCTTTTGAGATCTAAGCTTGATCCTAAGGATCTTTGGCAAGAGGAGAAATCTATGCTCTCAAATCTCTTTTTTCCTTCATTATTTGGTGCAGTGTTAGAGGCATTTTCCTTATGAAATGAAGATGAATGCTCAGGACTGTTCATTTCATATGGAGAGCTTCATCTGATGCAACAGGTAGATAAGGTTGTGTGCTCTAATAGCTCTTTGTTGCTCAGCACTGCACTGAAGGAACTCTTCTGTGGGCTCACAGGCATTCTATAGAGAACAGTGGGTTAAACTGCTGATGCCATCCATCCTTATTCCTGCTGAATCGTATACTAATGTGATAAACAGATGACTGACTTTGTACACAGAACAGTGTATTCAGAATGCTGACCTGCTTTTATGAAAGCAGGCATTGCCACATTCCAGTGTCTCTTGTGGGATTAATTCTGGTTTATGCAGAGTGGAAACTGCAGGGGATAGCTTTGAAAAGAACTGTACCTGACTTCCACAGTTTCCTGTTAGAGGCATTTTCCTTGCTCTCTGCCCACTTTCTTTCCCCTTGCCTTAGATGAGACTTGTGTTGCTCAGTGCCATTTTTCAGGATGCACTTTTGAGCTTCATTGCTTTTTTTCTAAGGGTTATTTGTGTAATTATGCTGCAGTGCATACTATCCAGTAGTTCAAAAGCACAGACTAAATTGCTTCTTCTTTTTAATTGCTCGGGCTGCAAGCCTACAAGTATACTGCTGTTTCTTTATAAAAGCTGATTCATATTGCCCTGTAGCATAGGTAGATCTCAAACCTGATGAAGTGGGCTGCAATCCATGAAAACCTGTGCCAAATAAAACTTGTTATTGTTACAGCTGCCATAACACTCTGTTGTTTTTGCTGCAGTTGGTAATACAGTTACCTATCTATCCCACCTCAGGCTGTAAGAGAGGAAAAAAATATATGGGTTGAATAATTCTGTTTGTGGAAAGCAAATCTCTAATAGAAGGGGAGGAGATTTGTCTTATTCTCTTGGTTATGGGAACTGAGTGCTACGGAAGATTGGGAGATCAGTATGGGAGGTAGCACTGGGAGTTGCAGGGAAAGGCAAGAGAAATGTAGAGGAAAACAAACATAAGCAACAATTAATTTTCTTCTTTTTCCCTTAATGGGAATTTTCACCAGAACTTGCTCTATTCTCCATCTCCATTCTGAATCCTTCAGTATTTCAAACACAGCAAAAAATTTAAGCTTTGTGGGTCTTGTCATTTAAATCAATGTTCCTCCACCAGCTGCCTTCCAGGGGTATTAAGCTGCAGCTTCCACCAGCATGGCATGTTGGCTGAGGAAAATGGGAGCTGTAATTCGACATACAGTACTGGGAGGTGTGAGGCCCCCGTACAGGAGGCCTATGTAGGAGTGCCGTTGCTCCTGTCGCAGACCCAAATTACCCAGACCTCACCCCCTCCTTCTCCACCCCGTCGCGAGGATAAGCAGGTTGATACTGAGGGATTAGGAGTAATACCTGAAGAACTGGGGACCCAAGAGATTGGGGTAGATACCCGAGACTTGACCCAGGTGTTGAAAGAGTTAACCCTGACACCAAAGGGGGAGAAGGTTTCGGCGGGAAAAGGGAGGAGATAGAGGCAGCCGCCGGGGATATAAGGGAAAAGCGGGAAGAGATCCCAGGTGGCTGGGAATGGATCTGGGTGGAAGAACCGTGGACTGGGCAGGTGGGAGCAGGTGAGGGTGCCTCATGAGGAGGCGGAGAGAAGAAGGAGACAAGGCCTGAAACCCCGACCCTCTTATTGGGGGGAAACGGAGGCTAAAGATTGGAGGCGTAAGTTGAGAGAGGAGAGAGAGGCTGTGTTGAGGGAGATAGAAAAGAAAAAGGCATGGCATATGGAGGAATTGTGGAAGATGGGGGTTTACCCGGACCCTGGTTGGAAGGCCCTGGAGAAGAGTCGTCACTATGGGGCTGGAGCGGCGATGAAGAAACCCTTCCCTTGATCCTACCGGGTGATGGTATCCCCGAAACCGGAGGGCCAGTGAAGGATGTAACTGGTCCTTGGACTGTGGAAGAGACTAACCCCTTTTGGGGAAGTTTGTGGACACCCTTGCACCCTAGACCCGAGGCTCAAGAGAAGTTAAATGAAGTTAAGCAAACTGTTCCTGTTAGTGTTAATGTTCCAATAAATACAGAACCTGTTGGATTGTTTAACCCGTCTCAGCCTTTATTGAGTGTGACTGACCCCACAGCAAATGAACCCTCACAGGAGGGAATTGGCTTACCAAAGACTAGCTTAAATGGTACTTGGTATCTTACCCTTACTACATTTTATAAATATGGACTTTCATTTTCTATACTGTGTGTTGATTTATCCAGTGACTGCTGCTTTTCTTTGGGATTGTAACAAGATTGAATAGTCTATTTCCAGAATCCACCACACACACACCCCACGCGCACAGATGAAGAGGAAAATGTTTTAGCAATCCTTATAAAAGAGAGAATGTGATCTGGAAATACATTTTATTTTGAGCAAGTGGGTTTGCATTAGTGCTTTCTCAAGTTCATTTCTTTTATGGATTCACTCTTGTATAGGAATAGTCATTAGAGAAGTCTTTTCAGAGAGAGAGAGAATATACCAGATGGCATACCTACATATATACTATTGAAACACCTTGGAGATCTGTAATTTGATTGGTATAGATAGTCCCTCCCTCAATATATATGTAGCACAACTATTTCATACCATTGCCTTCACACTTGTTGTGGTTAGTGCATTCTGGAATGACCTTCTGGTGATGAGACTCTAGTTAGCTAGGCTACTCCTCAGATGATAAACACATGGCCTACCATCAGGACTGTACTGGAGGCCATACTTGCTTGGTAGAACCTGCCAGAACTGGTGCTCTGTTGACATAATTTTTGAGAGCTCAAGGTTACTTCCACACCACAGTAAGGTAGCAGAGTAGGACTACATGGATGATTAAGAGAGAAAGTGAGTGCTTATGATACATCTTCTTCCACCTTGAGGTGATGGAATGGTTTGGTAGTATGTCGTGTAGAAGTATCTACAGAGAACATGAGCTATAAAGTGGCCTCATAGCAACTCTGTTTTGTTTTGGACTGTTTGTCTTTGTGAATCTGGGCTTTCAGAATTAAAAAATGAACTAACTCTTTAGCAAACTTAGTTTCAGAGGTCAAGCATTTGCCTGGTCAAATATCTGCCAGGTGCTGGAGGACATCTCTTAATATGTATAAAGAGAAAACAATCTCAAATCCTGGAAACCCATAATATTTTGAACTGTTTTCTTTTTGACCTCCATCTCAAAACCACAGTTGTTAAAATACACAAGTAAACGCAGATGCTGTTGACTTGGTGACGATTGTGACATGTGTGTGCACTTTTACAAATCTTTATTTGTTTAAAATATGTTTATCCCACCTTTTCCTTAAAAGTAGTTAGCTTGTATCATTAAAAGACAGTATCTAAAAGCTAAAAACAATAGGTATACAGTATAAATATTAAAAATCATCAACGAATACCACACTAAAATGGGAAACAGAATCAACACCAAAAACCAATTCAAAGCTGAAAGCCACAACACTCCATTTCAAAATCCCTCCTGGAAAGCCATTTACTAGAGGGGTTTGACATGCTGGGAATAGCCAATGTGAGAATGTATTGTGGGGCCTCTCAGACATGTGACGTGATCTGATAGGAGGTTTTTTTTTGGGGGGGGGGAGCCTAGCAACACAGTAGCACAAGTTTCAGTGCAAGAGATTGCTAGATCTTTGTGGGTTCCAGGAATCAGCAGCATGGAGAAGTCCTCCTACAATGCTGATCATTGTAGGCTAGTAGGGGTTTGAACTTCAGATTATTGCATCCAGACTCACAACACTGCAGCTAGTACAGTGTGTGTTGGCTTGTCTGTGCTTCAAGTGGAAAATTAAACTGCCCATTGTTTGCAGTCAACATTTCAGGAGTAAACTAATTCCAGAAAATACTTTGAGCACACCACAGTGTTTACACATTCATATTTTCTTTTTCAAATACTCTTTTCACCAGATGTACAGCAAACAAACGTGTTGCCATATAAACTGTGAATTAACCCATCCTACTACTACACATGTATGAGACCAAAGTTCTAAATGTGCTACAGAAAAAAGGCAATAGGTTGATTTTTAAAAATATTTAAATTTCAAAAACAGAGCATTCTCTATAGACACT